TCCGCGGGCCCCGCCCCACCCCGCCCCGCCCCCGAGCAGGCCGCACAGCGTTTATACATTTATTTATAACGAAAGTACAGTTCTGATTATTTACAACAGGTAGGAAAGCCAAGGTTTGTACAAGGGAGCCAGACGAGTCTCGCAGTCCACAGCAGCAACACACATCCCCTTTTAAAACGACTCCTCCTGTTCCAAACGCCGACCAGCACCTCAGGGCAGCCCCACACGTCCTGCTCCGTGCAAGTTCCTTCTGCCCCGCGGACAGGTCTTGGCGAACAACTGGGTCCCAGGTTCCAGTTCCGTGCTCCAAAGCAAGGCCCATGTTGCGGTCACAGCGCGAGGGCCCAGGGCTGCCTGCCCCGTGAACCCAGCATGGAACAAAGGGCGGGAACAAAGTGGAAATGTCGGGGTGAACCTCCCGAGGAGTTCTGTCCAAGTCCAGAGTGACTGGAGATCATTAAGTACTGGTGTAATAGCACCGAGTTCACCTGGGGATCAGTGGCAAGATGAACCCCTCCAAAAACTGAGCCTCCCACCCTCCCCCACCCTGACATCTGGCTAGAATGAGAAGTTGTGGGTTAGTAAAACCACATCTTAACAAGAAATAAGTGCTGAGTTACAGGAGATGCTTAAAGGAAAAACAAAGTTTAGGAAACATGATCATCAAGTTGTTCAGAACTACTGTACATTCCGTTTGAAAACACTGACGCCGGATCACCGCAAGCTCGGTGGGACGGCAAACCTAGGCTGGTGGCAGAAGCACTCAGTAAAATACACACAGCAGGTGTAGAATGAAGTCAGTGGTACTGACTTTCCATTCTTAAGTTATTCCGGAAAAATGAGAAACACAGACTGGCAGGCTTCGCTAGTTCCTCTTCACAGCACTTTCCCCATGGTGTAAGGGACTAGCCCTGTCAGGATGCTATTTCAAAATATTTATTTTTTGACAAATTCACTGCAGAGATCAGGATTTTAAAAATAATGCAGCCCTTTCAAGGGGAAATACTGAATTTTTAGCTTCTGCAAATGTAAAAACAATGCATATTTGCCAAGTTCATTCTGTAATATACATGCATTATTGCTAGAGGGGAGGAAAAAACAAAACAAAACAAAAAAGAGGAATGAAAACTCTTCTGTAGCTTTTATGGTGCCATCCAAAATGGCATCTGTTGTTTAGCTCGTTGCTGTGAGGAAGGATACTGGTATCCCAAACTCCATCCCTGTGAAAAAGTACTTGCGTTTTTATGGCCTCCATGCTCCTCTTCTTCATCTGATGAATCTCCAGCATATGCCACTAATCCAAAGCCCTTTTCTGCAGTTTTCATCTTCTTAGCTTGATGATCTAGGAGGGGAAAAACAAAACAACCCCAAACCCCACCCCAAGAAGAAAAAATAAAAAGAGATAAAATGCCCCAAAACGAGTTAATAAAAAAGATGTTAATTGTAAATTGTTAGTTGGACACCATTTTGAGGTCACAAGGCCAATGGTCATCCAAGGTCGAAGGCCACACCAACAGCACCAGCAACAGCACATGTGATCCATCAGAACCATGTAAGAGAACAGAGAAAGAAGAAAAAAAAACACACAAAAAAGGTAAAGTTAGCAAACGGGTCTAAGAGATGAACATTTCACCGTTAACGAGATAAATATGTAAAGAAAAGTAGAAATTTTGTTCACAAGAGAGCTAACAGAAGAGCAATCTCTGGGACCAATACTGCAGAAAAACTAAGGTTAAAGAGACTGAGGTGATGAACCTGCAGACCTGAAAGGCACTGAGCTACCTGGAGAGTTAACACTATTACATACTCTGCCAAGCTGCAAATACTTGATGTGTGACAGCCCCATGAAAAGATGAACTCTGACAGCACCTCAGTTGTTTGCAGACATGACTCCTGTCTGTAAATACACACCTTGAGCTAACTCTAACTCCCACCAATGCACCTTTAGTGCCTCTAGGGAGCTGTTCACCACATCAAGCCACATCAGATCTGTGCTACAGAACAACCCTGAGGTTCTGTGCCTCAGCTGACTGATGGGTCAGAAAGACTCAGCTTTGGTCCTTCACTTAATTACACTCTCCTTGTTCATACAGATATGACAGTTTTAAGAGAAGCATCATGTGTGTATAAGCGCAGGGAAGATCAGTGAGTTCAGAGCAGTGCAACACGACCTGCTTTACACTTCAACAGTGTGATATGAAGAACAGCAAATAATCACCCAAATGTTCAGACCAGCGCAAACTCATTTGGGAAAGGAAACTTGACTTACAGGTGGATTTTAGTCATTGCACTCACCATGGCTGCCTGGCAAAGACCCCGCACCATTTCTTTCTTCAGATTCTGATTTCATCCCAGTGACAGGAAAAGCTGGTGGAGGCATCAACTGCCTATTTAAAGCAAGGCAAGCCCTTATTTTTTTCTTTTTTAAAACAAGCATAGAGTCAAAGGTAACAACAAATTCATAACTCAGTTTGTGACCTGAGGAGTTTAACTTGTAATTGCCTGACTAATCTAGCAGCCTTCTATGATGGTGTGACTGCATCAGTGGACAAGGGATAAGCAAGTGAGGTCACCTACCTGGACTTCTGTAAGGCCTTCATTAAGGTTCCCCCTAGTGTTCTTATCTCAAAATTCGAGAAAAATGGGTTTGACATGTGACCACAAGAATGATCTGAGGGCTGGAACAGCTCTGCTATGAAGCCAGGCTGAGGGAGCTGGGGTTGCTCAGCCTGAAGAAAAGGCTCTGGGGAAACATTATTACAGCCTTTCAATACCTGAAGGGGGCTTATAAGAAAGAGGGAAATAGACTTTTTATTATCAGAGTGTTCAAGACCAGGTTGGAGGGGGCTTTGATAAACCTGATGTAGATGTCATCCCACCACACAGAAGAGGGGCTGGACTGGATGATTTTTAAAGTCCCTTCCAACCAAGCTATGATGCTATGAAAGAACATGCAAGCCTGACAGTTTTGTGCCTCAGTGCCCTGGAGTGCACAGGGCAGAGCAGGGATGCCTGATGACCTCAAATAGCTACACTGGATTTAGGACTTCAGACAAGATGAAGAACATAAAAAAACTTCACCAATACACCTGATGTATTTCATAATGAGCAGAAAACAAAAGGGACTATCAAGTAAATCTTTCTCTGAAACTTCAGGCTGAAAAATGTCAAGTTTACAGTTTCTTCAGAATTTTTAGAAATTGGAATAATTTCAAGTGTAAAGCGCACAAGAATACCCCATTATGTCCAGGAGTTGGCAAAATAACAGACCCAAAGTAAGAGCACAGAGACTTGGGGAGAAGGGGAAATTCAGCTATTTTAATTATGTAGCACTAAAAGGTAAGCCTTGCATCCCTTAAAAACACCAGAAGAAACCAATCCACAATAAAACAAACCACCCCCCCAGCTCCTGGGTCACATAAGAGCACATGAAACAGATAATCTCTGAAAACAGCTTTTAAAACAGAAAAGGCCTGACCATAATTCATCATCACTCACCTGTCCCTCTCTCTCTCCTTTCCTGAGGAACTTGCTGCCTTCGATCCAGCTCCATCGATTTCACTCTGACTGGAGAAGCCTGTACCTAAATTAGTCATATGAATGGGTCCATGCTATGAGCAGAAAAACACACGGCATTAGCAAATCTACAACTACAACATAAGCTTTAGCTCCTTAATGATAATGACAGGAATCCCAACTTTTCAGAGCATATTGCCAACTAGCAGAAGAAATCACTAATTGCCATTGTTAAACAATGTTAAACTTCTAAAAATACTGGGAGTAACAGAGTAAGAAACATGTCTGAGCACCAATGTGGAAGAAACCTCATGACCTACTCCGCCTTTTCAGTAGTTCAGGACAGTAAAGACAACTGCTTAATTCACAGATCAACTTACTGCCTCCTCCATTAGCTACTTCTGAATACTCTATGGACCTCATGCCAGAATAAGCTCTCCTCAAGATACTGGTATTAGGCCTAAGATAGAGATAAGGTCCTTGCCTCTAGGCAGAGCTTTTATTAAGGGTTTCTGCCTGTGAGCTGGGGTCTATCATCAGAGAAGCATTTGCAGGAACTCCCTGTTCTCATATGTAAGCCTGAAGAGCTAATATTCTTTTTTTTTAAATTACAATGAATTTACATTTGCTATCTGAAAAAAAAAAAAAAAATTAAATTATTCTCTTAAAACTAAGCTTCCTGAAATCCTCTTAAGTGCAACCTGCAAGAAAGGTGAACAGGGAAAATCTGCAAGTTACCACCACATTTCACTCCCACCCCTCAAACAAGCCCAGCCAAAACCCCAAATAATCTCCCTTTAAACTACCCAGTGAAACACTGTTGTCACCTCTTTGACCTGAACACACCACTGTTCTTCACAGAAGACTGAGGACATGGAAATCAAGCTGCCAATGACTAAAGTCAGTCCCACTATAAGAACAGTGCATCCACTCAAAGAAACCAAAGTGTGGTCTCCATGTCCTCTAACAATGGCTGCCACCTGTCAAACACCTTTCACGAATGTTGCCAAATAAACTGTGCTAATCACAATCTCTCTCCAGTCAATTTCCATTTGAGTAAATTAAGTAAAATTGCTGATTTTATTCCACCTGATATCCCAGCAGTCCTGACTCTCTTTCATCTGGGAGTTCCTCAGTGAAGCGTCTCTTTTGACCTTGGTGATGGGGCGGGACTTGTGGCTGTGTACCAGTTGGCATGGTTGTTTTCACTGGGGTAGCAGGAAGAAAAGGACCATTCAGTGGACTCTAGCATGCAGAAGTTGAAAACAGAACACAAGAAAAATTTATAATATGCATATAAAGTATTAATTCAATGTAGAGTTTCACAGACAGGAGCATAACACACAACTAGTTCCATTTGCAGAGACTAAGAAAACCTAAAAGGATTTTAACAACTTAAAACAAGTATTTAATCTATATCCACCTCAAACTAGTGACTACCTATATAGCTGCATCACAGCCTTTGATAATGATTTTTGCAAACAAGTAGCCCCTTGCAAATACCCTTTATGTTAAAGGAGGCTCTGATATTAAAAATGCAGTTTGAAGCAGCCACACCAGTGATTTAATTGCTTAGCCAGAAGAACTGGCAAAGCAATAATCAAAAAATGTCCTAAAGAATTTTTCATCTGGATCTAATTTATGTCTTCTATCATTAGCGAAGAAACAGCTTAGGAAGTCAACAACCACAGGGCAAACAACTGAGCTGAGGCAGTACCTGGCCAGTGCTGGCTGGAGGCTGGACCTGAGGTATCGGGTACTGCGTTGGCACCGGTGGGACCCCCGCAGGCAGGGCTGGCAGGATGCCCGGGGCCAGGGGCACTGCAGGGGGCACAATGCCTGGCACACCATATGGTGGCTGAACTGGCTGCTGAGGAGGGGGAACAACAGGATAACCAGACTGATAGCCATTGGAGGGGTAGTAGGAAGGCTGGGAGGGCACACTGTTCATAGCAGCGGGCTGAGTGAAGCCTGGGGAGAGAGGGGAAGTGTCAGCTTGAACGCAGCAACAATACCACATTTAATTACCAAATGTAAAAGAAACTGGAGTCCATTTCAATTGAAATACTTTAAAAAGGGTAAAGGGATTCCACAAAACTAACTGTAAGTCCAGCTCTGCAGAATGCAACTCCAAATAATTCATTTTTGCTGCTTTACCTGTCAAAGGTACAGCGGTGGTTATTTGGTTCACAAACCGGGAGTACTCGGCATGAACCTGCAGAGAATTGTGAAATATGATACAATAAACATTTCTTTGCTATATAAACCTTTTACAGGTGAAAGGCATATTCCCACACATCCCCATCAAACTATAGAGGGACATTAATTACAGACTATACCATACACAGAGCAATAATCCAAACACAAAAACCAAAATCAAAACCCCGCTGGCCAAACTCACCACCCCACTGAACCAGCAGCCTGCTCTCCATGACAGATCTGTGCGAGATACAGGATTATCTTTCACAAGGAACAGTGGCAAACTGTTTACTTCAGTAGAGAGACAGAACTCAAAAGAATCTAAAAGCTTCCCTATATTTTTCAAAAGAGACTTTGTAGCCCATCCTCAGTTACCAAGACTATCAGCAAGGCTGTCTCAGAATTTTACTCTATTTGTGTTCATATAAAAAAAGCTCTGAAATTCAATTTCTCTCTGCACAAGTGAGAGATTTTCTAAAATGTTTTTGGTAAGACTATTACTTTAGGAAAGATCAACCAGAGAGCACGGCTCTGGACAACATTTAAAGCTAAAGCAAAGGAAGCTCCAGCAAACAAAAAAGAGCAGGATTCCTTTATGCTTTCATACAGTCAGATAATACCCTGCCCCAAATTCTGCTACTACAGCTTCATTGTATGAAATATTTATTCACTGCACAAAAATTAGTCAGCAGTACTCAGAAGGAAAAACCTATTAGCAAGTCAGAACACATGGACAGTTTTGCTGACAGCATAAAATAATAATCAGCCAGGCACATGATGAAGCTACAACAGGCTCTGAAATCTTGTATTTTTAAGAGCTACTCACGGTTTGCAACAGATTCTCACACAGCTTTTTAGCAGCTGCTAAACCTTCTGGCTTTGGGTGACTGAAAACATACAAAAAATACCTCATAAGCTCAAATGTTTCCACCAAATTCAGGAGCTACTTCTTTCATCAGCAACCTGCAGTCAGAACTTATCCCTTTAATGAGTGATCAGTCATCCACCTCAACAGGACTCTAGTAGCTCTGCAGCTACTTAGCACAGTTGTGAACAAAAGTGACAAGTATTGATTTTCTGTGCGAAAACTCAGGTTTTTTGAATTTCTAAATACTGCACAGAACACTGACTTGATTGGTCAACAATGCACATTGTATTCTTCCCCTAAAGCTCAACATCACAACTCAAACCCCAAAAGAACGCAGCTTTAATGTGTTCCAAATAAAAGTAATTCCTTATGTTGTGCATCACTTTATAATCTATCACCTCACGGGTGGTAATTTTACCACTGTAGAGAGATCACTACAAAAATAAGTCAGGTTCAAAAATGATTAATTTGCATTAAGCCAGTCGCAATTCAGAATTCCCCATATAGATGGGACATTAAGCTACATTCATCACTAGTCACTGGAAGTTTTATTTGTTTTTTAACCCACTCATACCTGATGTAGATGTACATGGGTTCAAAAGCTTCTCTGCCTGATGCTGGTTCTATGCAACCTGAGCCTTTCCCACGAAGAAAGACTTTGGCACCTGTTTCAATCTGAATGTGCTGCAAGTAGGAGCAACCAGGCCCTTCCACCTTCTCCTTCACATTAAATGTAGGTACAGCATGTTCCAGACCAACAAATAACTTGTCCTGAACATAATGCATCTGTAAATGTAACAGTAAAAGCTTATTATTTCATTCTAGGAATAAGGATGTTTGTTTTGCTGGATGCCAGAAATCTCATTTCTCTGACAGATCAGTTTGGTGTCGGATGGCACAGTCAGCCCTTTGCTCCTCTGCAAGCTGGACTGCTCTCTCCATCCCTTCTCTTTTAGGAGGTGATTGGCATCTGAGTCTCACTCTTCAGACTCAGGCCGATTAGTCCTCCAGTGTTCACAACACACATGGGGAATTTTTTACTTATTTTGTGGGGTTTTTAAATATTTTTTTTCATAAACAGCATATAACATGTATACTTGTACTAGATACATCTTGTAATCAGTGACATTCAATGAAATTCACAATTACTCACCCCTGACTGGAATGGAGGTTTTTGGCCAACTGCTGAAGACAACTGAGTAAGAGGGGCTGGCTGGTGATAAACAGTCACTGTGGCTCCGTTGAATGTTGGGCTAGAACCTGTGGCTGCTTTCACTACTCCATTAGTAATTATCTCTTTAATTCTGTTAACAGCTCCTGGGCGACAGAATATGAAATTCAGTTGTATTTTGGCCCTGGTCAACTGCCCAGGTTAATCAAATCATGAAGTGCATGGGTTGCTGCCCCACACTCTGTTACAGCACCCATGGGCAAAAGGACTGCACCTGGCAGAGGGGCCCAATGTGAGCATTCTGGGACTGGATCACAAAGGATGGCAACAAGCACCAGGGTTCCTTCTCCACTCCCACCCTGATAAAGCTTAGGCTAATATCTGCAGGTGTGCAGTTTTAGCTTAAACATTTTAGCAACTGCTAGAAACATTTACATTAACCCTGCATAGAATTTACATCTGCATCAATGCGAAACTAACACAGGAAAAGTTGTTTACTGGCTGTGGAAATAAAGGTATATCCCGGTTGGAAGTTTCAAGTTTCAAGACAACTTAGGACAAGCCCATGAACTGATACACGGAAAAATTCACACCTGAACAGTTAATAGTTTTCCTTTTTTCCTGAGCACACACAGGCAAGACAGGAGTTCTTTGTACTTCTAATGGAAATGTAGAGGTTTCAGCAAAAATGTTCATACTTGTACATTAAAGAGAAGATCCCCCTAACTCTCATCTCTTGTAAAAGGATCTCAGTGTGTCATCAGTGACTAAAGGGACATGTAAGAGCTGGACCTGCCTAGGAACCCTACCTACTCCCATACTTTCCCTGTAATCTCTCAGAAGTTTTAGTTCCATGACTGATGCAGCAGACTGCACCTCAGATAGGTCTGAGCAGAGATCCTAACACTAATGTTTAAATGAGCTCTCTTGTCAACACTGAGGTACTTGTAATACAAATCATAAAGTCAGAGGGATTGGAAGGGACCTCTGAAGACCGAGTTCAACCCCCTTGCTGTAGCAGGAACATCCAGGGCAGATCCCACAGGAACACATCTAGATGGGTCTTGAAAGTCCCCAGAGAAGGAGACTCCACAACCTCTCTGGGCAGCCTGTCCCAGGGCTCCCTCACCCTCACAGCAAAGAAGTTTCTCTTCATGCTGACATGGAACTTCCTGTGTTGTCACTTGGTGTCATTTCCCCTCGTCCTGTCACAGGCATCACTGAACAGAGACTGGCCCATTCCTGACACCTCCCTGCAGATATCTGTAGACATTAATCAGGTCCCCTCTCAGTCTTCTCTTCTCCAGACTGAACAGCCCCAGGTCTCTCAGCCTTTCCTCATATGACAGATGTTCCAGTCCCTTCATCATCCTTATACCCTGCATTGGACTCTTCCCAGTAAATCCCTGTCCCTCTGAACTGGGCAGCCCAGAACTGGACTGTGGTCTCCCCAGGGCAGAGCAGAGGGGGAGGAGAATCTCCCTTGACCTGCTGGCCACACTATTCTTGATGCACCCCAGGATACCATTGGCTCTCTTGGCCAGGAGGGGACATTGCTGTCCTAGGGATCACTTGTTGTCCACCAGGACCCCAAGGTCCTTCTCCATGGGTCTGCTTTCTAGCAGATCAACCTCTAATCTATACTGGTGCATGGTGGTTTTACTCCCCAGGTGCAGGACTCTATATTTATTCTTGTCTAGATCTTGCTGAATCTTGCAAAGCCTTCAGGTGGATCAGCCAATCCTCTAGCTTCATATAATCAGCAAATTTGCTGGGGACACATTCCATTCCCTCATTCAGGTCATTGATGAAGATGTTGAGTAAGAGTGGGCCCAGTACTGACCCCTAGGGAACACAGCACCTTTGATCACAACCTTCTGGGCCTTATTGTTGAGCCAGTTCTCAACCCATCTCATTGTCCACTATTCTAATCATACTTCCTGAGCAATACCAGTCATAACAAAGCCCCTTATAAAACCTTTTTATCACAAATAATGAGAAAAAACAGAATGCACTTACTGTCAACCAGTTCCCTTGTCTGACCCTGGACATGAAGATACAAAGGACGATCTCTGGAAGGGAAATGTCAAATATTCCATCAAACCCACAGAAAACATAAAACAGTGGATTCCATCTAATTCTATCACAGTCATCAGACACATGGGGCTTTCCATAAAGATTTCAAATATTCTTCAAACAAGGAATTAAATAGATATTCATTGAACATCACAGTGCTCAGAAAGCAAAGCTTTGCAATGTGAACTGAAAAGATTCAGAAGTTATTTACATGACAACTTGCTAAAGTTACACCACTGAAAACTTTAATTTCCTTGTCCACGCGCAAGGTTAACTAACTAAAAGCGGAGTCTATGAAATACTAGTTCTGCTTGGAACTGGAAAGTTGCCCATTCTCACAGAATCATCTTGGTTAGAAGGGACTTTGAAGATCATCAAGTCCAATCATAACTTAAATCCACCAACCATAACCTCATCTACCTGTTCAGGGCTTAAATTATTTCCCTGAGCACCACATCTCTATTTCTTTTAAACACTTCCAGGGATGGTGACTGTACCACCAAACTGCTTAGCAAACTGCACAAGAGATCCAATATCCTGTTCAGTGGGAAGAAGTTCAGCATAGTCTGATCTGTTCCATTTGTGATTTGTTTGGTTTTCATTTTGCTCCATCAATATTCAGCAGGTAGGAAGGCAGCTCTGCAGTCAGCTCTACCACAGGGTAAGCACACCGGGAACACTCCATGGCCAGCTCACTCTGGAGCCAGAGGTGACACTGCTCATAAAACAAACAACCTTCCCCCCACCCCCTCAGCCACCCAATGAAAAAACAAGCAGAAACCCACAAGAAGAAATACAAACCCAGGTCCCACTTTTGCTTTCTCTTCTGCAGTCATGAATCTCCCTCGAGTAGAGACAGCTGCTCCACTCAGTCGACTTATCTACAGTTAAAAAAACCCAGTGACAAGTTTACAATAATAAAGCACACACAACAACCCCCAAGTGGTTCGTGTTATTGTATAAAAAGGCCAAAAGCCATTAATAAAGTGGTAAGAGAATGAATGGTGCCTGAAAGGGTATACCAGCTATGCTACCTCATCATATGACATTTTATTGAAAAAAAACCAACAAAGTACTAAACAAAGGATCTTAAAAAGCACAACTTTCGTAAAAAGAGGAAACAACCACTGAATGCAGTTTATTGCAAGCTCTTTTAACCATACAAACAGGAACAAACCTGCTGCCAAGCCAAACAAATTAACTGCAGATCCTGAACATACCTCATCCTGGGTCTGTCCTCTTGTCAGCAGGTTTCTGCAGGTGAGGGGGACATCATTGATCTCCACCTCTGCCACCACAAGGTCATCTTTGCTTTTACTTGTAGCTGGACCTTTTCCCAGAGCCTGCAGCTTCAAACAGAACCGTTGCAGAAGACCAGTGGTTGGAAAGCAGAGACAAATGACATGCTGAGCAAAGTGACCCTAGGACTCTAAAGGTGAATACCCTTCATATTCTCCCATTTCAGCTGCTGAACCCAAAAGCTGTACAAATATTAGCAGAAACCACAAAATATCTCCAACTTCATCATCTCTGCACAAACTTGAGCCCAAATAAAAATGCTAGTTTTATCCTCAATACAATTTTAATAGAATTAGCAACTGTTGTTTCTGTTCTACAAATAGAGAAACAGATGTAGAACCAAGCAGTAAAGCTGCTCCAATGGAAATCAAGGCATCTTACACTTGAATTGGCATCTCAGACCTATGAGACTGAAACTCACCTGTAGTTCTCTTAACTCCCCTCATGCAGACACAGAATTTCTGATCAAGATCTAAACTCATTCACACTATGGCTACACTTTCCCCACCATTTTTTTAAAAACAAGGACTTAATATTTTGTGTCAGCAGCTAAGTGCTAAGAAATAAAAAGCCATCAAGTCACAGATTCAGAAGATATGCAGAAGAGCTGGAGTTACAAGACCTTAAGGGCTTTTCCACATATAGAGACTTAAATGGAATCCTTCTAAAAATTCTGAAATACTTTTGGGGACATAAACAATAACCCAATATAACTTTTCAGTAGTATCCAAGAGGTATCCATCCACTCATAGATACTGTTGGAAGCACAGCACTTCCCTGAGAGCCAGAAGGCAACTATTGAGGGACACAGGTGTCATGCCCCAGCACTTTTATTTCTCCATTCCTTCCACACTTAAAAAAAACTAACCAAACAAGAGTAGATTAATTAACCTGCAGGCTCCTTATTTGCTCATAATCTGAAGTGCCCTCAGAGTTAGTTACTCTGAAAATAGCTTCACTGAATATTTCCTAACAAAAAGAACATAAGCAGTAAAAAGCCTATCCCATTTGCAAATTAATTTATTGGTTAAGTGGTTCTCATGATATGTTACAGGATGCAAGAATGCCACCAAAGCTCATGGGGAACATGTGGATGGAAGAATGAGATATTATCACATTATAATCCAATTTTTAGGGGTTCCAATCTGCCAGTCAGCAAACAGACCCTGGTGTGACTAACAAGTATTTATGGGTGTGCATAAGTGAATCAGACACCATCAGGTACCAAAAGCACTTCAAACTGCTGATAGCCATGATCAAAGAAACCTCACTACTGAACACCACATTTTAAAAAGGCTATAATGGTCATGCTGGATACAGAACCTGCAGAGAACAAGTAGGGCACATTTGCTACTCTCTCTCCTATTATCTATGACTAAATCCAACAAAAAAAGTCAATACTTTTGATGCTGCCTCACAAGGCACAACTGGTAGAAAGTAACTCGCAGTCCCATCAATACTAGGCATGTCAAAAAGAAGATTCAATATGTTGTGAAAACAACCTTCTCGATAACTTCACATTTGAAAAGTTTGGAAGGAAACTTGAAACAGCCTTCTAAACGTGGCTCTCAAATAGGCCAATAAACTGCAGAAATGCAAGACTGATCCTATTATTGAAACTGGAAATCAGGCTTTAAATCACACTTGCTTTAGAACATAACAGTTCAGTTGAGAGTGACCTACAACCACCTAGTCCAACTGCCTGACCACAGCTCAGGGCAGGGCTGACCAAGCTGTTTAGAACTTAAGACATATGGCTTCTCCTGGTAACTTGTTTAAGCACAAAAATAATTTGGTTTCATGTTTTAAACTGGCTGTTTTATACAGCTACTTTTACATCAGCTGTACTGCTTAGAAAACACAAAATAGACATGGTTGGAAAGGACCAACCGTGCTGGGCAAACAGCTATTCCTGCAGGAAAAAAAAGCTATTCCTGCAGATGGCTTTAGTTAAGCCTTAGGAAGAGCAGCAGGGCTGACCCGACACCTATGCCACTTTCTGCTAGTACGAAAAGATAAAGAGGATTTCCAATCGCCTTTCGTGATTCTCTACTTCCCAAAGCAAACCTCCACCATTTCCAGTCTCCTTAAGAGCTATTCCGACAAATAAAGGTCGCAGGTTCCCAGAAAACAGCCCTGACACGCAACCTCACCCATTCCCCCCGGGCCGGCGTCCCACGG